TGCTTCTCTCTCGCTGCTTTCAGATTCTTTCATTGTCTCTGTCTTTTGTGTGTGTCTTGGTTTGGATCTCTTCAAGTTTATCCAGCGTGGGGTTTGTTGAGCTTCTTGGATATGTACATTCATGTGTTTCATCACATTTACGACGTTTTCAACCTATTATATCTTTAAATACTGTTTCTGCCTCCTTCTCTCCTTCTGGGACTCCTTATTCATATTTTGGTGTGCTTGATGGTATCCCACAGGTCTGTTAGGTTCTGTTCATTTATCTTTTTTTTTTTTCCCAAGTTTTTTATCGTGATTTGGCTGAAAGTTTACAGGGCACATTGATTTTCCATTCAGCAGTCTGCACCTTCTGTTTTGCGACATTCACTGCAATCCCCCTGGAGCAATCACACTCTTCCTACTTCCTCCCTGTGCCTACCACTTCCCTTTGTCCTTCTTTCCCATCTCCCTCCTACCTCTATCCCTGGACAAATGCCACCTTCCTGATCCCTCCTGGTATCACAGTTCACTTTATAGACCTACCATTGCACCGAAAGTTGAGCCACAAGGGTTGAGATCAGCTCCCAGCTTGAAGGATGTTTAAGGGTCATAATCTCTCGGGTTCTGCCAGTCTTCATCTGGTAAGCCTGGTCTTGTTTATAATTTTGAGTTTTGTTCCACATTTTTCTCCCGCTCTGTCTAGAATCTCTTATTGTGATCCCTTTCAGAGTGGTCAGCAGTGGTAGCTGGACACCATCTCATTATTGTTATTTCTGCAGCTCAGACTAAGTAATTTCAGTGAACCTATATGGTGGCATAGTGCCTAAGGCATTTGGCCGTTATCCAGAAGACTGGTGGTTCAGACCTACCAGCCACTCCTCAGAAGACTGGTCCCTCCTGATAAACGTGTTCAAAGTATGTGAGATGGAGTCTTGCTGTCCTCACTTCTAAGGAGCATCTGGCCTTACTTCTGCCAAGACACAGTTGTTCATCTTCTGGCAGTCCACGGTATAGTCAGTATTCTCCACCAGCACCATAATTCTAATACATCAGTTCTTTTTTGGTCTTATTCATTGTCCAGCTTTCACATGCACATGAGATGATTGAGTATACCAAAGCTTGGGTCAGGCACACCTTAGACATATAAATGACAACTTTGCTCTTTAACACTTTAAAGAGGTCTGTTTAAACAGATTTGCCTAATGCAATACATCATTTGATTTCTTGATGCTACTTTCATGAGTGTGGATTGTGGATCCAAGTAAAATGAAATCCTTCACAATTTCAATATTTTCTCCATTTATCATGATGTAGCTTATTGCTCAGGGAGCTCTGGTGGCGCAGTGCCTAAGGCATTGACTGCTAACAGAAGGCTGGTGGTTCAAACCCAGCAGCCACCCCTCAGAAGGAAGGTTGGGCAATCTACTTCCATAGTGATGTTGTTGTTGTTGTTATGTGCCGTCAAGTCGGCCCCAACTCATAGCGACCCCTCCTTGGGTTTCCAAGGCATTATCACCACGGTAGAAGGATTGCCCAACCTTCCTTCCGAGGAGTGGCTGGTGTCCATAGTGATAGTGCCTAGGAAACCCAAGGACGGGTTGCTATGAGTCAGGTCCGACTCGACGGCACATACAACAACAACAGTTTATTGGTCCAGTTGTAAGGATTTTTGTGATCTTTATGTTGAGGTGTAATTCATATTGCAGGCTGTAGTCTTTGACCTTGATGAGAAAGTGTTTCAAGTCCTTTTTCAGCAAGTACAGTTGGGTCATCTGAAGACGGCAGGTTGTTAATGAGTCTTCCACCAATCCTGATGCCACATTCTTCTTCATATAGTCCAGCTTCTCAGATTATTTGCTCAGCATACAGATTGAATAAGTGTGGTGAAATGACACAACCCTGGTGCACAACTTTCCTGATTTTAAGCCATGCAGTATCCTCTTGTTCTGTTCAAACAGCAGCCTCTTGGTGTGTGTACAGGTTCCTCATGAGCACAATGAAGTGTTCTGGAATTCCCATTCTTCTCAACGTCATCCATAATTTACTATTTATCCACACAGTTGAATTCCTTAGCGTAGGCAACAGAAACCTCGGCAACATCTCCTGGTATTCTCGCCTTTCAGCCGAACTCCATCTGGCGTCAGCAATGATACCCTCACTCCATGTTCTCGTCTGTGTCTGGCTGGATTTCTGACAGTTCCCTATCAGTATCTTGTTGCAATTTTTTTTTCTTAATTTTTTATTTTAAGAGGTTTTATTTTACATTGAACATTATGTGTACCTTTAGTTTCACTCCCTATTGACCATGTCCAACCCTAACCCAGTCTCCTCCCCTTCCTGCCCAGTAACCCTCCCCCACCTCTGTGCCCCTTATAGTTACACACTTCTGTTTGTCCTGCATTTCCTCCGTGTGACTGACTGTTGCCCCTCTGGTTCTCTGTGGTCGATTGCTCCAAGAGATGCATTTCCATAGAGTTTGTGGGTGTGTCATCCTGGGTTGAGTGGTCTGCGTGTACATCTTGTTTACTCTTAGGCTGAGAGCCAGCACCCGGGGGTGAGCTTTATTCCAGGCCCAGAGTGTATCCCAGGACCATGGTATTGGGGTCTCACCAGACTCCATCCGACCAGTAATTCTGGTCATTATTGAGTTTTTGGGTTTTGTTCCACGTTTTCCCTCCCACTCCATCCAGGATCTCCAGATTTGATCCTTTGCTAAGTGGTTGGCATTGGTAGCCAGGCACCATCTAGTTCTTCTGCTTTCCAGGGCCGTCGTGTCCCAGGGCTGATTATTTCCTAATGTCCTTGGTTTTTTGCACTCTTCTTTGCTTCCAAGGGTAGGAGACCATTAGCTGCATCTTAGATGGCCACTTGAAAGCTTTTAAGACCCAAGTCACCACTTGCCAATGTAAGATGAGGAACAGGGCTTTTATGTGTTTTGCTGTGCCAGTTGAGTCTGGGCACGTGCCCCCCAGTACTATGGTCCTGAGACGTTAGATCCGTTCGATCTCTCTTCCACAGTGTCTGGGTGTCTGTGAGGGATTACTCTGTCTGTCTTCTATTGTTTCTGTGAGGACTGTGGGTATTTTGTATCACTGGTGTCTGTGTAAGATGAGCCTCAGCTGAATCTATCCTTGGTCTAGAGTATACTCCTGTTCACTGACCCCCATCGGATCCTCTCAGATATTTGTGTGTTTATTTGTAGCCTGATGTTTGATGTTTGGAAATGCACTATTGTGGGCACACTGGTTGGTATTAGCGTCTGTCGTCTCTCTCCTATGTGCACAGTTCGGTGTCCTCCCTTTTCCTAATATTATCATGGTGGTCACAGACTCTTTCCATACATCCCTCCCCTTATCCACATCAGCGTGTGGGCCCCAACTAGCCCGAAATTAATCTCTCCCCTTCCCTTCTCCTCCCAGTAACCTACAAAGTGAGTTCCCTTTTCCAAGCAAACCC